AATAATAATATCGGGATCGTGTGTTGTTCTAGTGTTTCGTGTTGTTTTATCAAAGCATCACTTTTTTCACGCTGGTGAGTGCAGAGAATTTCTCTCAATTTTTCCTCATATTTCTCTGTGTTCATTTAACTTCATTACCCTATACAGGGTATGTCACTACGAGCATACACTATCTTCAAATCGAGAATCAGTCGGGAGAAATCCATGAGAATGTGCATGCTTATATTTTGGTATACGCTCTTTTCATTTAAGATATGTTCGACAATGCAGTGTTGCCGCTTCTACTAGAAAGTAGTAGCAACATTGATATTTCGAACGGAACACCCTGTATTTTATCGCATTTTAAGATTCTCCTTGAAGAGATGATTTCATCGATATATCATACTTGGGGTTTATCGGAGATGATTACAGAGATATAGGTTGTTCAAAATCGATATTTTTCAACTTTAGGATTTTTTTGTGTCGAAAATATTCATTATTGGTCAAAACGGCTCACATGTCCCTATCTCAACTTTTGTTTCACTATTTACTGATATTTAATCAGAACAGATACAGGGTGGTTCAATATTCAGAATTATGATCACATGCATATTTTCATGGATTTCTCCCGACTGATTCTCGATATAGAGATAGTGTTAACTCGTCGTGACATACCCTGTATGTTTCGTACCGTTTGTTGTATTTTCTCCGATCAAGGAATATTTTCTTCTGATTTTCGTGCTTCCTGTTCGAAACTGTATCTTTTGAGAATTTACCATCTCCAATAACTGTGACACAGAACGTAATCTTGATTTTGACGAAATCTTCATCTATGGTCAGGTCATAACTTTTGAACCACTGTGTATAATTGATTCATACTTGGTAGGTATATTCAACTCATATTTCTCATCAAAACTAAATATGAATCGAATTTAGAATCCAGATCCGTCTTCAGGCAAAACAAAAAACTTCTTTTTTTTTTCAACAGTGCGCATCCAATTTGAAGAACAGTATTTTTATTGAACTCGTTATTCAAAAAATCCAATTTTATTACAAAAAAATAACCAGTCGTCAAATTTCAACTTAATTAGAGCCGAATTAGGTAAACTTTCGATGGATTTCGTTCCATAGAACAATTTGTCAATTATTTTAGATATTTTCGAGTGCTCATTTCATTTTCACACACAAAAACTAATTAAATATTTTACACTCTTGAAACTATTCATTTTAGTATTGTCAGTAATTTTATATACATATATATATTATACGTCTCCGAAGTTTTATTTGTGATTGTTCAACACCGGAGTTCTTTCATTTCATTTATTTTTATATCTATCCATTTTGATTATTTTGTATATAAATATTTTACACTCTCGAATTTTTGTACCTACTTAGTTTTATATTCCAAAATTATTAACCTTAGTATTTTCAATAATGGCTCGTCAAACGAAGTTCATACTTTTTCACCACGTTTCAAGCAGCATTTGCTTCTTCTGTGGGTTTTCTAATGTTTATTTACCTAATGTTAACTTGCTATCATTATTTCTTCCATTGTATTCTGATTCTGTTGAAATAAACATATTATTATTATTATTATTATTATACCAAATTTCAATTTGGATGCGCGCTCATAAAAAGTTGACCACATTGTTCATTATTTTCCTCTTCTTTCCAGTTAACAAAACATATCTAGATATTTTGGGAAAGATTATATTTTTAGCCTGGGTAATTTTTTTTTAAATCATTAGACTTTCGAAAATAATACTGTCAGTATATCCGTGTTCAATACTTCATCTTATATTTTGTATACTATATATCTCTTTTCCCCCCGCATAATCCTCATTAGTCATATAGACTCCCCCCCCCCGTATAATTCCATTATCAACATTAGTCATAGATAAATCATTTGTACAGAAATTAATCGGTTAGCAATGATTCAACTCATATTAGTCATTCATTCGGGACCAAGTGGTAAATCAAGACAGTATATTAGATGTCATCACATACTGTCGAATTTTGTGATCGACATTGAAAAATACGCGAAAGGAATTATTTATCGTTCCAAACGGAGTGTTCCCTAAAAATTGAGTGATAGTAATCGAAAATTTCAAATAATGAAATAGCAGAAATCATTTTCTACCTTTTTCACGCTGGTGAGTTTTTCGAATTTTTTTATTACGAGTGATAGTATAATCTGATAGGTATTTTGAGCCGATACCATTCGATACATCTAGAAATCTTAGAGTAGGTACTCTTTTGATTCATTTTCATATACATATACGTATTTTTTGTGAGAAATGTATGCGATTACAACAAACCCGAAGAAAATTTGTCAATCCGTATCGCTGGACTGTGCTAGGCTAGGTACCGCAACTGCCAATTTTCACAGAGAAATTTTCGAAGTCGTCAAAATTTCTTTGAAATGGTCACACACGAATTGTCGAACTCTTATTATTATCCATAAACTCAGATTGGAAATTTGTCTCGAAATACCCTGTACTAATTGTATAATTTCCTCTGGTATATTATATTTTTATATCCAGCCCGCATTCCTGAATAAGGTGATTAGTCATCAAATTTTTAAATATGATTATAACTTTTTTTCTGCATTGAACAATTTGAATGTGGTTCACACTGTTCGCTAGCCCAGTCCTTCAGCTATAAGCTCGTACATACTTCTTTAAAACATGAGGTTCTTCATATAAACTCGCTACATGGTGTCACCTGAAACTGTGAAAAATTTTTGAATTTTCAAAATAATCCCAAATAAACGGAAACTTTTTTTTTCAACTTTGACAGCAGATTAACTTGAGACATTTTTCGAAGTGTACTATTATCCCTTTTACTTACAGAGTGATATAAAAAAATTAACTTTCAGGTTTTGCAGTCATAACTTCATCCCTGTATCTTTCGTATTTGTTTAGTTCGAATTCTGAAATTTGCAAAAATGAAATAGGCGAGTTGACTAATTATTTTCATTTCTTGAATAGAATCATCACTCAAATAACTTTCAATTTCATATATTTTCAGAATTCTTCCTTCGATTTTAAGGTGCTGAGATCAACAATAATGCCACGGTAATTTTCAAACGGATAAAAATTTACCGCGAGTAAAAACTGACGTCACGATTTAGTAAGTAGGGACAAACCATAGCACACATTTGCCATTCAGGTCATTCAGCTCATAGTTGAACTAATGATGGAAGTAAGATATGGTGTAATCACTGATGCGCTTTTGTTTCAGAAATTTTACTCGACCTCTCGAGAACAGTGAGAGCAATGGTTCCGTCGATCTTCTAATAGATGGCGACATTGCACAATCATGATATCTGTCAGTTTTGAAATTGTCGCAGATTTTTCGAATTCAGAGTTGAATAATCCCACTGTTACATACATTCCGCGTACCCATTTGCCATTTTATTTTCACTCGTCACAGCAGCAATAGCAGCATCACCATATAGCGGGAAAATGTAGAATCAACGTCTCGCTCGTTGTGACGTAGAGAAATCATAGTAGGCGGTCGAGTGATTTTTCTGAAATTTTCAATACGTAATAATGGCCGAATGCGCGCACCATATCTTACTTCCATCATTGTTAAACTACTGCTCAGCTTGAAATCAAAATTCATTCAGTCAATTCAGTCAACCCTGGTATACAGTCTAAGCGAACAGTCTCTTTTGGTGAAATATATTAAGCTTTTAGTGCAAATTATATGTTCCCTACCTCGCAAAGAATATGCTAGAGTAGTAAACTCTAAAACTAGAGGATTGTTCAACTATATCTTGGTATAGTTCAATCAGGAATTCCATATGAAAATTACGTATGATACGCCAATGACCTCAATATAACCTAAAAAATAACAAATGTCAAAAATCTAGTGTTCATCCCCAGAATTGAATAAGGATGGAACTATACAACTGTTTCACAAACACTTTAGAGTGAGAGGAGACGAGGATCTGTCCGTACCCAAGGATTATAAAATACTCTCCTTGGTCCGTACCCTGTTAAGATGACTTTAACGTCAATTTACATCAAGGGACTCTATCTTAACCCAACCTTCCCCGACCTAATATCTCTGAATAAAGGTAAACAGAGGTAATCTTATGGTTTCATTCGAAAAAACAAGACGAAAAGTCGATTTTATAATGCTAATTCCATATGAAAGCAGTTTAGCGATTCAAATTTGATTGATTATTGTGTCGATCACATGCACATGATGCATGCATGCGAATATATACGTACGGATACGGCATATTAATTGTACGTCAGTATACGTATACGTACGTATCGTAGTTTCACCTACGGCCACTATGAAAAGTAGGCAAGAACACGAGATACAGCCTCAGTAATTAGCTCTTTACGCACAGTGAGCACATCGCACAGCTCCCATTTATTCCGTCAGTCATGATCACGTAATCGACGTCAACAGCGGATGACATAACTGTCAAGAATTATATAATTCAGAATGTTTGTCCAAACTTTTTTGATGTACTATGGCAGTAGGTAAAGTATAGTACGTAATGCGTGTTGTAAAGCAATTATTCACTACTTTCCCATTCGTGCGTAATAGCATAATATGCTTCATACAACACGTTACGTAATATACCTACTAATAATATGCCACAACCTATCTGTACGTAGACGTACGCACGCGAATATAGTTGTAGGTCAAGTCAGGGGTCAGTTTACGTACGGATAGCATTCCTAAATTTACATTCAGTTCATTGTTCCTAAATGCGTATGAATGAAGTGCCACTATTTTTACACACGTATTCGTACTTACTCATATACACCCTACGTGCGAATAGACACTACCATAGCTCAGATCATTCTGATTGGTATAAAAATGCGTCCCTACCGAAAGTCGTGGTTGTTTGAATTCTTGCCTATCGATCAGCTGGATCAGCTGTTTGTGACGTCTCTGTGTATTATTTTGGACAAAGCCTGTCAGATTCAGATAAATGGAAGCGTAGTAACAAGATTATTGTATTTTCATAATAATTTAGTATAAAAAAAGTGAAAATGTTGACTCTGGAAGTGGTTCCTGAACGATCCCTCGGTTGTGAACAATGGGAATTTGTTGTGGGTGAGTATCATCTACCTGTTGTTTGATGAAATTAATGGTTCTTTTTCATTGTTGGCTAGGTGGTAGGCTAAGTTGTAGGTAGGTAAACACTTTATGCAATAGTCCAATTACGAGTCCAATATAAGTCTAGCCCATTATGAAAATTTGGTGTTTTTGTAAAGACATAACTTTACCTTGAACTTTACATGAGATACAAAAATATGGCCTTTCTTGAGGACTTTTTGTATTCAATTAAAATATTAATTGTGTTTCAATATCTAGCTACCTTATAAATTGAACTTGATTACAATTGACTACAACTATAATCATCATTGTGTTCTATTATTCCCCTAGCTACCTGCTGTTCTGACTTCTGAGGAACCTATTTGTTCTTGAAATTATTTGAACATTTTGATTATAATAAAAAACCTGTTGATGTCAGTTAATGAGAAATTCCATAATGTTTTGTAATAAATGAACCAACAATCTTCCTATTTCCCAAACCATCATTGGTCATCTCAGTGGTCACTGAAAATCTCTTGTGAACATAAATCAATAGTGACAAAGGAAAACTAAGGAAAACTATCTATATCAAGAACTCAATCAAGAAAAAGTTGATTTGCACTCTCTTTGCTATAATATTATGGCCCATGTAGAAACACATTTTGTGTTCAGAGTTTCTTTAAATAAATAGATTCGATTGTAAATATAATTCTATCTATTTTTAGGGATGCATTTTTCCCAAGCAGTTGCAATTATTCAGTCACAAGTTGGAGTTGTAAAGGGTGTTCAAGTTCTTTACAGTGATACAGTGAGTAATATCAAGAAATATGTTACAACATTTTATTTTATTATCAATACCTATTATTTAAGAAACCATTAGAAGCTGACTTAGTTATTAATCTACCTCAAGATGGTATCAGACTTTTCTTTGATCCTGTTTCACAACGACTGAAAATTATTGAAATTTATTCAATGAAGTCAGTCAAATTGAAGTATTGGTAAGCCAATTCCAAATATTTCCTTCTACTTTTTATAAAAAAATATGATTTTTCAGTGGACTTGAATTCAATTCACCTGAAATCTTACCATCCATAGAACAAATAGAACATTCCTTTGGAGCTACACACCCTGGAGTATATGATTCTGAGAAACAACTTTTCATGTTGAATTTTAGGGGTCTCTCATTTTACTTTCCAGTTGAATCCAAATTTCAGTGTGGTATGTTAACATGCATATACACTGTGTCCAAGATAAGAATGTCTATCATGGGGATCTTGGAAACCAAAAGAGAAACGAAGATGGTTAAATGAGAGAAAAGTTGCGCATTTTTGAGCCTAACAATATTCCGTTTGAAAAATTTCGAAATGCCGAGTATTTCCGGAGATATGCCTGAAAAACCGAAATATGCCGATTTCGTGTTTATTTTTTTCTGACGTTATTTAAAGATAGATAGAATAACAAAAGACACTTTCTCATTGCCACTTTTTGAGCTCTACAAAACAGCGTTGAGAGATCTCCCGTACGACGTTTCGTTTCGGAGAAACCATCATCAACTTTATTTTTTTATGCGGCCGTGAAAAAGTATACCCTGTATTGAATAGCATATTTCATTACGAATACAATGATGTATGACACATAATGATTCTGCAATATTTGATTCCGAAAAATGGTTTTTATTATCATTTCGAACGTTTTGGTGTAGTAGGCGGTGAAATGACTGATTGACTGCGCAGTATGGTGTAGTAGGCTATTATAATTCGTGTTTCGAAATATTGAATTGAAATCACATTATTGAAGATTTAAAAACTTTATACATATATGTATACGTAGGTAGGTCACGTCATATGTTAATTAATTAAACAAATTAGTTAAGAACTACTTACTAGAAATTCAAAAAAACTAATTAAAATTATAGAGAATGTTCAAACAAATTACCATTATTCTCCAAAAACAGATAACATCTCTTGCTGACGAATTCAAAACACTTCTCAACATATCAGGTGTAATGCTCTTGATCGCCACAAGAACTAGTCTCCTAAGCTGATCCTCAAATTTTTGCAATACTCCCAGAGAAAAAAATCGAGCGGAGTGATGTCCGGCGAACGAGGGGGCCAAGAAACTGTTGAAAGTGTACCTATCCATTTTCCCGGAAATCTGTTCGATAGATACTCGCGCACGATTAGGGTATTGTGCTCGGGCGCACCATCCTGCTGAAACCAACAGTTTCTAACCTTTGCAAGCGGTAAGTTGTCCAAAGCTCCTTCCAAATCGCGTTCCAATAAGTTACGGTAATGCTCCGAGGTAAGGGAATTGTTTTAGAAAAAGGGGTCTATTAAATCTGTTTCAAAAATCCCAACCCACATATTAAAACCATAACGGTGCGGATGTCTAGCCATTCGGTGTACTCGGGGATTATCCCTTGACCAATAATGGGTATTTCTTCGGTTGAAAATTCCATTATTTGTTACCATACACTTGTCCGACCAGATAATCTTATGTGGAAATGTTTCATCTTCCTGTCACTCCCTGGTGTACCATTCACAAAATGTTCTTCGCCTTTCCTCGTCACCAGATCTGAGGCCTTGACAGATTCTGAATTTGAACGGGTGGAATTTCTGTTTTCTCAAAATGAAATGGACAGTAGATTTCGCTATACCAATTTCTCTAACAGATATTTCTGGGTTTTCAGTTACAGCTAATATTACATTATTTTCTTTTTCTTCATCACAGGGCTTACTGCTTTAGATTCGAAACCAATCGTCCGAAAATTTTTGAACTGGGTTGTCTTCTCTCTGGATAGTTATTTGAATACATACGATCAGCTTCAACGGCGTTGCTATGGCATAAGATATAACATTTCAACATATCAAATTTTTCCTCAGGTGAAAAAACACGTTCCATTTTGTAACAGAAAAAAATCACTAGTAAGAACAAAGTTCAAAAACACTATGTGTCAATAATATGTCAATAAAATTATTTTGACATTTTCTCAGCGCCGTCATTTCACCGCCTACTTATACACCAAAAAATACGAAATAATAAAACCATTTTTTCTGATTCAAATATTGCAGAATCTTTTTGTGTCATACATCGTTGTATTAGTAATAAAATATGCTATTTAATACAGGGTATACTTTCTTCACGGGCCATATGAAAAAATAAAGTTGATGATGGTTTCTCCGAAACGAAACGTCGTACGGAGAATCTCTCAAGGCTTTTTTGTAGAGCACGAAAAGTGGCAATGAGAAAGTGTCTCTCGTTTTCCTATCAATCTTCAAACAACGTCAGAAAAAAATTAAAACGAAATCGGCATATTTCTGTTTTTCAGGCATATCTCCGGAAATACTCGGCATTTTGAAATTTTTCAAACGTCATATAGTCAGGGTCAAAAATGCGCAACTTTTCTCTAATTTAACCATCTTCGTATCCCTTATGGTTTCCGAGATCCCCATAATAGACATCCTTATCTTGGATACAGTATATTTCAATTGAAAATTACAGAAAATATATTTTTTTCTTTCATAGGTAGTACCCATAATCTGGGATCTCTCCAATTTCCTGCTGGTAGTTCCCCTTTGGTATCTCGGATGGCAATCTACTGTGGATCAAGTGTTGATCATGCATATGCTCCTGAGCTACCTCTTACTTGTTATTATGGGCAACTGTACCTTCAAAAGGCAGAGATCATTAGAGGTGAATCATATACTAGAGGATTGAAGTTGTACCTATTGGCTGGTGAGCAAATGCACAAAAACTTGTTGAAGTATGAAATTAATTGAAATTCTATACCTATTCCTGTGTCCATCACATATTACTTTGTGTTACAAAAATGTTTCTAATGATTGTACAAAATGTATTTCATGCAAAATAATTTATTCATTTTTTTTTCTAGCAGAGCACTTTCAAAGTAAGTAATCAGCTTTTAACTGTTGAAAAAATACTTTTCAGAAAAATTGTTGAATTTAAATTTGAAAATCAGTAACAGTTAATCAACTCATAGCTATTGAAAAGAGACATTGAAATGAATTGAAAATGTTAAATTCAAATTTGAAAATTTGAAAAAGTTAGGTTACTTACTGTATTAAAGAACTTTTAATTAGGCTGAAGATGGTCTTTTAGAAGACCGAAACATGTCCCTTCTGATTGAATTTAACCATTAAAATTTGTGGAGATGACTTGGAGCATTCTTTTCTTCCTTTGAATATGAGTATGTTTTCAATAAACATGTAGTAAGGACAAATCAATTGGTTTGTCCCAAAATATCTACTATATTCAAAAAAAAATTATCAGAAAAAATCCAATCATTGGAAGATGATTAAATTCTATTCATGTTATTGGACACAGGAGGAGGTAATTGATCTATTTCAATTAATAAAGTTTCATTATTATTCAGGGTGACCCTGGGTTAAACCGCCAAACGTTTAGGATCAGTTTTTTAGGCAAAAATGAGACTTTTTCTTCCTATGCATGTGTCCTAACTTGCTTCATTTTAGAGATATAAGGTGTCAAAGTTTTGAGAAAAAATAAGTTTTTTGTAAATTACTCAAACTTGGCATGCTCATTTGAGGGAATAAGGGGCTCCTGTTTACTGTTTACTTAGAATAAAATTATCATTTCCAGTAGCGTCCCAGAGGGTAATCTATCTAATATCAGGTCATTGTACGCCACTGTTTTATTTGTATATTTATTTTTTAAATTAAACTATCGAAAATATATTTTTTTGTCTCATCAAATTATTTATTATTTCTAAAAAAATTTCCTGCATTGTAGCAGGATAAAACTATCTGACTGATATTTCTACAAAAACTGCTCAAAATGACCACCATCTTTAACATTACAAAGTATTTTTGATAGTTTAATTTAAGAAATAAATACAAATAAAACAGTGGCGTACAATGATTTATCTTAATATTAGATAGAGTACCCTCTGGGAAGCTACTGGAAATAATAATTTTATTCTAAGTGAACAGTTTTATCAAAATCAGCACAGAGTTTTTTGAGTAATTAATGGAAAACTAATTTTTTCTAAAAACGTTGACACCCTATCTAAAATGAGGCAAGTTAGGATACATGCTAATAGGAAGAAAAAGTCTTATTTTTGCCTGAAAAACTGATCCTAAACGTTTGGTGGTTTAACCCTGGGTCACCCTGTATAAGATCACTATTATTGCAGCAAACATCATTCTTCAAAATTTAAATTCTTCTAGGTACCAATAGTCGACTGATAGATTCAGTGAAGTTACTATTTGAACGTGAAGTTCTTCTGGGGCATTCTGCTCAAGATGTGGCTTCTGCTCTTGGAGCTCCCTCAAAAGTTTTTTACAAGAGTGAGGACAAAATGAGAATACATAGTCCAAATGCACATAGGAAAATTAGCGCCACCAGAAGTGATTATTTCTTCAATTATTTCACTTTAGGAATGGTATGTGATGAATTTTCAGTAGTTTCCATTCCCGTCAGTCACTGATCTGTGAGCATATTTTCAATAAAAGTTAGCCTTGAGAGAGAGAAAAATGTCTTCCTCTTTCTGCATATGTCCTAGTGTTGAGGATTCTTTTCAGGGTGTCAACATATAACATATATTGCAAATTTTGTGTTGGTAACTCACAAAATGTTATGAGTAAGACTATTCTAACCTTTAAATGAATTGGGTAATCCATCGACCTGTCAAACTATTCTCTGGTTGGCAGTGTTGGCACACAGAAATCATTAATGATCAATAAATTGTTTTTTTCTACAAACGCCAAAAAATGACAAGGTTCGCGCATTGATAACAAATTGTGAAGTGACACATTTTTCACATACTTATAACCACGGAAAATCACAAACGGAAACAATATAGTTGGTATGGTTGCATTATTCTATTGATTCAATATCTGGTGCCAACCAGGCGCCATATTGATTCTAACCTAAGTTATTGCTATTGCTAGTGATATTCCCCATTTTTTTTCTAATAATTTTACAATGGAACTTAAGATACAAGGACATGCAGGAGAGTTATATTTTTCTCTTAATGCTTAATGCTCTCTCTTCTTACATTTCCCTTCCACAATGAGCTTATATCACAAAAAAAAATTATTTCATAATTCGATAGAACTAACCCTAACTAGCTCACAACCGCAAACCGTTTCCTGCTGTGAGCTCCCTACGTTTTATAAAAAATTATTGAAATCCCCGATTTTTCGGACCTCTGAAAACGAGGCGATGATGTGACTTCAAAACCTTATACTGAAACAAAACTATTCCAGACAGAGATGAATGATACATGATTTCTGACAGAGTGAATTAGCGCGAGATCACAGTTGAAAGAATAAAGAATGAATATATCAGTTGCCTCAGTCTCCGTCGGGCGTTTGGTATTTTTTTTAACTATGGCGAGATGAGGTTTCTACGTCATAAGAGGGTCCGTTTTCAGAAGGTTCTATTATTTATGTCCAAAAATAAAACATTCCAGTTAATTTTTCGATCGAATTATGTCGTCAATCATTATTTATGTATAAATGGATCATTATAAACATGGTTTGAGTTGAAAGTTCCACTAAGGTGTACACGAACATTGTCATATTGAGTTACCTTCAAATATGATATTGAACCACAATAACATTTTATTTCATTTATTTATTGGGAATATAACTTCCAGTCAGAAACAAGTTCTATGAGGGAGTAGTAATTGTCCCAAGAAATGCATCTGAAAGGTTCCTTATAATGCTTCTGAGTCTCATTCATTCTAGATTTTCCAGAACTACTAGTTTCGTCGCATCCCAAAATAATTTAAAATATGAGTAACTTTTGTCTGCTTTGAACAATTTGAATTCGGATTACACTGATCGCTAGCCCAGTCCTTCAGCTATAATCTCGTACTTCTTTCAAACATGAGGTTCTCCATATAAAATCGCTACAGGGTGTCACCTGAAACTGTGAAAAATTTCGGAATTTTCATAAGGATCCCAAATGAAGCGAAAGGGACGTCCTGATTTTGAATCCGAAGTGATTTTCAACCTATCTTGTCTCCTTATATCATTTTTGTGGGTGGTTCCATGGCTGTTGGCGAGCAGTGTATATCACTGGAGACGATTCCACTTCTTGGTCATAGTGTGTATTTTCAGTATATCTACCGCTCTTTCCAATTTTAGAATCCTAACTCAACAATAACGGAAGATACAGAGGGGCTTCCACTAGAAGTGAGACACACTGTATAATGTTCATCTTGAGTCAATTCTGATCTTCATATCTGAAGTTTAAGCTTCAAAATGAGCCTGAGATTTCAAAAACCTGTCGGCGAGGAAAAAAGTTATGACTGCAAAACCCAAAAGTTAATTTTTTGAGATCACTCTGTAAATAAAAGAGATAAGGAGACAATTTGAGAACTGTCCTTATCATGAGGCGCCCATATCTATAATAATTTTGTAAACCTATTTCATTTTTTCAATCCAAAACCGTTTGTCTTACGAAAAAAAGTCAGGATGTTCTTTTTGTAAGCAACTGATGAGACATTACAAAACTGATTTTTATTTTGATAAAAAACAGTGGCACGCCATTTTTTAATGTAATAAAATTATATTTTGGTCAATATCGACGGTATAAAAAAAGGTAGATGATGAATTATTTTCATTAAATTATAGAGAAATTTATCCTCTTTTAAGAAATATAAAAATTAATATACCATTACATTTGTTTTTTTCGAAAAAACACTTCAGCTAATGCCATCTAGCGGCGACAGCAAAAGTCAAAAATTCTAAACCAAATGAGCGTTTTGTAGGGCAAATTATGCTCTTTTATATGAGCCTAAGTTTGCTAAAATCGGTCGAAATGAACGGGAGAAATCTTGGTTTGTTTAGAAAAACAATTGAACTTCCCCCACCGCTTTATTTGGATAGATAGAACAAAATGTTTCAGACAAAAAATTCAGGGAAATGGTCAGTAAATATGAAAATGATATCATCGATATACTTTCATTAGACAAAATTCTATAAAAATCCCATTTTTCTACTTGGTGTTGGTTGTTACGCCCTCTAGCGGACGTTTGACAAACTCGAAAATAATTTCCAGCAATTCCTCTTGGCGACTTTTATCATGATTTTTTTTTCTCAAATCTATACGACCAATATCTTATGAGATATGGCCGCTCGCTACCCTTAACTGATCACCCTGTACAGTGTGTCCAGTTTTCGATGCGTTTGCGCGATATCTCAGTTATCATTGGAGATAGAGTGTTGCGGTTTTCACATTACTGCCTTCCTTTTTTGTGAAACGAATAATGCCGCAAACAGTATTTTCACAGTCCTATATGTTTTTGAGATACAGGGCGAAGTTGAAAATTCTCAATATAATTGAGATATCGCGCAAAAGCATCGAAAACTGGACATTAGCGCAATAACTTTCTTTTTTGTTTTAGTAATGTATTATCCTAGAGGGCTTTATAATGTTTGAGCTGGTCGTAATTTTTGAGTCTGAACATTCTTTCAGGACGTCCTTTTCGATGCAAAATCTCATTTAGTGAAGAAAATCGTGCTGCATACCAACTATCCTGGCCATTACAACTTCAACATGTACATGAGATGCGAATTCAACTTGTGTCTGGATGAAACCAACATCACGGCATACAGTCACTGGGACGATATTTGTAAAAAATTGACTCCCAGCGAAAGGCCCGTGGTTTTGAATAGGGCTAGTTCCACAAATACCACAAATCCTTTTGGAAGTACACTCTGTTATGGTTATCAGGATATTGTATTCGAGGTAAGTTGAAAATATTTATTGAAAATACAAAATGTCGGCTCCACCACGGCAAACTTGGATTCAATCACAGATAATTTTATGACCACAATTTCAATTAGTTTCAAGTTTCAACAGCGGAATATTTTGTTTCTTCCGCTTGTAGTTTTTAATGTCATCGCAACGTAATGACTTTGGCGACCACGAATAGTGATTGATGTCAGAAATGAAAAACGAATGTGTGATTCTCCATAAATGAAAGGAGGCGAATGAAGAAAATATTTCGACGGCTACTACGATGTTACGTTCATTTATAGAATCCCTGTATAAGAGTCCCTTCCATACCAGCTTCTTGCAGTAACTTTTTAAGGAAGTGCTGCTATTTATTTTTAACCATTTTCATAAATGCGAAAAAAAAACGATGCGTGTTTTGTACGTCTGATGAATGATGAAAAGACACGGAATATGAAAAATGCCAATAGTTCTGTGAAACTGCGCATGCTCCTGATGATTTCGGAGTTTATTTTTCGAACAAACCTTATTGGAGCATAATCAATAGCTATTTATACAGAGTGATTCCGAAATTGGGGCCACATTTTTGTGGAAAAAAAATGGTCCAAAATGTTACCACACAAGAGTGTTTATACATACGTCAATAACCCAGCATAACATATATCGCTGGCCTTAAGACTCCTTCCAAAAACGGCCGACAGACAACATCAGCGGGCCACAATCATTATATAGTAGTCTACCGGACTATCTGCAGAAACTTCTTCTTCTTCTCTGCACATCCATCTGCAGATGGGATCATCTTTGATCCCTATGAGTTCTATGTGCCTGTTGAGGTAGTTGTGCCCAGTTGAGAGCCCAACTACCATCTTGAGATCCCTTCTATTAAGTGACAGGATCTCTCTCGTGAGCCTTTTTGAATGTTCCTTTATATGGAGCTTTGATTGTCTCATTCCTGGTGTGTCCCGCCATGTTTCAAGGAACTGCCTCTGTAGCATTTCCTCCATGAAGAACATAGCCGTACTATTGGGTATTCCCAATATCGGTTCTGGTCCAATGGGTGTCGTTCCTGAACCGATCTTGGCTAGTCTGTCTGCCTCCTCGTTCCCCGGGATGCAGACACTATACTCGGTTTGAAATAAAAAAAATATAGCCGGGACTCGGTCTCTAGCCGGCGCTTAAGGGGTGATTATTTCCAATGTTAGACGCTTTCATTTCATCACGCTACTGTGGAAATGTGAGGTCAACAATTCAAACCTGCATCTAGATGTACCCTAAGCAATTTAAGTACGTTTCCGTCTGACGCATGGACGTATAAACAAAGAAGACTATGTCTGACCCATTGTTCAACTTGAAATTCAGAACATGAGTCTTTCCATTATTGAGAGTAAGATGATTACTCTCATTCCAAATTTGAATCATTTGTTCAGTGTTGGAGATTTTGTCATTAAGGATTTTTTTCATTTCGGCCACAGTGGATTATAGACACGTCATCAGCATACCCAAATACTTTCACTAACATGAACTAAGTTGAACATCAGATCATTGACATAGATAATAAGTGCGGCTCCTAAAATTGATGCCTGAGGTACTCCGTGGTGGTATTCTGTTGTTACAAAGGCAGATACACCGTCTTGCCATTTGACTCTAGCTTTTCTATCCGTGAGATAAGACATGAATAAGTTCTGCTGATTGCCTCTTACCCCATAATGAGTTTTTTTACCAAGATATTGTGAATATTGCGGTACAGTGTGTTTGATTTCAAAAAGCTTCTATATATAATATATTTTCACAAGCGTTGCTTATAATCTATATATTGAGCTTCAAAATAATGAAAATTTTGAACGATTTTTATGAAATATCTATCGATCGTCTTGGAGTTGATCAGTCAGAAACGATTCGAAAATTGTAACTTCAGAGCCGCCTAGCGCCCAAACTAAGCAACTTCGTACTGAGGTAAGTTTGCTTGGATCAAATTGTTTTTGTCTGAGCAACATACTGGGTGAGTCGGGAGGAACGCACCAAACTCCAGGTGTGTATTGTACAGGTATAAATAATTTCAAAAACCCCGTTCTTATACGATTCTCATTTGTTTTCATTCTAAATTTGGATAAATTTGTGGCATTTTATAAGACTTTAATCGTACTAACTCGAGGATATACGCGTCAAACACACTGACATTTTGACACAAACACATGTCGGAACAACAAAACAGATGAAACAATCGAGTTCGTTCAATTAGAGTCTTATAAAATGCCACAAATCTATTCAAATTTAAAATGAAAACAAATGAGAATCGTATCAGAACATATGGGTATTTTCAAATTATTTTTACGTGTACCAGGTGAACAACGTAAAACGGCTGTCGGCGTGATCTGGAGTATCAATAGATATCGTGAAATAAAAATGTAATATGTATGCATATTATTACACTATCAAATAGAGAAACTAAATCTCAACAGACCAACGAAAACTGCAACATGATAGCTTTCCGCTAACGAAAGATATTGACGAATCAAAGTTGGAAAAAAGGTTGATGACAGCTGTTCTTAGTTGTTCACCCTGTACAATACACACCTGATGTTTGTTGCGTTCCTCCCGACTCACCCTGTATGGTAAGTTTTTGTGAAAACCTTTCAAGGACACCCTGTATAATTGAATTTTAATCTCCAAATCCCAATTTGAGAGACTCGACCTTGAAAGCAAAAGTAGTAGCAACACTGATAGGTAGTGAAACGATGAGCGAATCTTCTGCAACATCAACTATGTGAAACAGGAAATCCAGAGAAGCAAAAGATATTTTTCACAGTATTTTTCCCTTTTTTACCTTAATTTCTTCAACAAAAATCGGAATTTACATAACAAGAGTGGAGAATAACATGTTCCGCGCGAGTGCGGACGTTCAGGACGAGCCACAAAGCGCCGAGTGAACGAAACAAGCGCAGGAAATGCACTTTTCAACGAGTTTTGTACACTATTCTTCCTACTACCACATACATCCAGATTATAATATGTATCATGAGTTTTCATGAGACCTGTGTAGGTATCATGTTTCTAATCATATTCGATCACATGAAGGTGGAATTATGATTATTAATATTATTTGATTCAACTTCAATATTATCTCAATATCAACTTTCAACATTGACTCAACATTAACTTGACATTAATTCAACATTAAATTGCGATTTAATTAACATTAACTTAACATAAAGACATTGAATCATCATTAACTTGAACTTTTAGCTCATTATCACTACAACATTAACTTAACAATAAATTAAAATGAACTGAACATAAGGTGTAAGAAGAATGTAGTGTGAGACTAACGAAAATGGTTATAGTTAGTATTAAAGTATGAAAATTCAGTATTATAATCAGTAGTAATACTTACTTCAAAATATTCGGGTTATACATCGATAACTTGTTGAAAAATTATTACGGGAGGGTTATTCTGTTGAACTGACACGATTTGTAATTATTGTGCAGGAAGTTTGAGATGTATAACCATGAATAGTTTGAAGTTCGAATTGTATTCAATGCGATTATTTTTTGAATAATTTTGAACGAACATTTTACGACGCTCTTTGTTTGTATGTAACAATATGTATTGGTTACTACCGAAATAAGTCTAAATTTCTGATTGGCGGAGTTACTCTATGTATATTCACGTATATTCGAAATTATACAAGGTAGCTTGACTCATTACAACATTCTGATAGTTGTAAAATCATAAGAAGAAAATAATCATTCATACATCATGTAGACCAAACAAAGACCACGTGAGATAGTTTTTAAGCAACAATACAGTGTGCAATAGGTTTCATAAATGGTCGTAGGAAAATCAATTTCTTATTCCGCTGTCAATTTCTCTGTTTTTGATGTTTTAAAATGTTGTGGATGAAAAATAATAATTATTTTAAAAAATATACGAAGCTTTCAGGAAGAAACGGTTTGTGACAGTAAAATAGTCTCGGTGAGTACTGTCAAATGATGAAGTCCATCATTCTAGAAGCCACTAGATTCTATTTTTCTTTTCATCTAACCATTCAAAATTGGTTGTTACCTGTTGATAGATCAATAGTTTTCTGATTGAAAGTTTGGAATATCAGAAAATGTTTGTATGGACTTTTATTATTGTTAAAGGTTATGCCCAATCACTACATCGCATCTATGAGTATGTATGGTGATGGTAGGTCCTACGAACTGGAAGGTGAACATGCGTGACAGAGGCTCTCTGCCACATACCTCATTCTCACCAACAGGTACTGGCAACCTCAAAATATTTATGCTTGTGCAAAAGCTTCTTAAAATTGTATTGGCAAATCTCTTTACCGAGTTTGTATAGTAGATCTAGCCTAAATGAGTAAACATGTAAGAGTTACATCAAAATGTGAAACGTGATAAAAAAAGAGTAGATTTAGTCACAGAATGCTTAATAATGATTGATTTTGTGGAATGAGAATATTTCTTTTAGGGTAAATTTTAATTTAGATCATTTTATTTCTTTGTACCTGCAGTGTTGTATTTTGTGTTCATTTGATATATCTCAAATGTGATATTTTATCCCCTACAGTTCGAGTTTCTGTTGCCTAATTTTTGTTGCTCCAGGTTTTTCATTGCGAGATTCAGTCTTTCTGAACGAGTTCTAGTCAGTAATGATATTTTTCATGTTTGAAATTTGTTTGTTCTTTCTCATTGAAAGTATCCGTTTTTTTGCAAGCTTGATGTTCAATCAATCCAGAGACAGTTTTCTTTTACAATAGCTGTTTGCAGGTATGAATTATTTGAATTTAATTTAATTAATTATCTAATTCCATAAAATGGATTTAACGATAAGTGGATAGTATGAAATAATTAAGATGTTAATTTAAGACAATTATTAAATATGATTTTTAACCAAAATGAGAATCCCAAGTCAACTGAAATTATGTTTTAAATTGAAAATGAGCAGTATTTTAATCAAACAATAAATAGTATGGTTTAGAATATTTTGTTTTTAATTTTTATTTGTATTTTGTTAGCTTTCTGGATATATGTGCTGAATTTGAAATATTATGTCCTATTTGAATATGTAATATAAATAAAAAATTATTTTATTATTCATTTGGATATTTGTCTACATCAAGTACAGTTGTCTTGGAAATGATTATTACTTATGTTAGTTACCTACTTGATGTAATGATGGTAATATATGGTATACAAGGTGTTGCTTGAGTATGTGTGTGTAGATCGAGTTGCTGACATCAATACAAGAAGGAAACTTCCATAAACATATTCCGCAAGTTCTTCATCTTCGGGATAATCCTAATTTAAAAAATGCATAATTTTGCTAATATTGCTATAATATTTGCTGGCTTTCTGTATCAGTATATCAACACAGTGGCGGATCACCGCATAGGCGCAATAGGAGCGCGCCTAGGGCCCCGAAGAACAGGTGGCCCCAAAAAAACATCAGTTCATTTAATAATGTAACTATCAAAAATGATTTCATGGTTAATATTCACAATATCATTTGTGATTGATTCATAATAGGAGTGAGGTGTATTAAAACATTGTCGATGATTTCCGTATTTCCTTTGACTCGAATATATCCGAGAATGAAATGAATTTACTGAGTGAGAAATTAACTACAAAATATAGCAGAGATATTGACAACATCTAGTTCAAATATGAAGTTCTTCAGTTTATTGAATTTCTGAAAGAAATGAATGTGATAAATTCAGCAGACATTTATATCGTTATTTATCATACAAGGGAAAAAAGTAGTAGATTTTTGCTCGAGGTTGTGTTGTCTTCCGACGCATAGCGGAGGGAGATAAAAAACCGTGAGTTAAAATCTAATATTTTTCCCGTGAAGAAGGACGAATCAATATTGAGAAGATATTACATTACATTTTATCAAAATCAGAAAATAATCGACGTGTTTGAAGTTTTCAACAGGAATTACACCTGCGTTGCATTCATCTTTTTGCAGGCATCTCTATCATTCTTTTGAAGTAATCAGATATCTGTCAGTCTAATTCTGTGTTTTCATTTTAAAAAACTAGTATTTGTTTAATAATTTACGTATCCGCGAACTGGAATGGAAGATAGAAGGACTTGCAGTTCTTTCTCGGAGACGGTGATATTGGCCGGGAAAAAAGTACTCACTTTTTTCCCCGTTGGAAAAAAGTTTTTATGAAAAGTGACATTTTATAACTTAACTATAATTTTTTTTTCTGTCACAGAAAACAACTCATTTTTCTTCCCGAACGTATAGAAACCGTTTATTTGTTTCAATTATATTTAAGACATCTTGCCAAAGTAATGAAAATTCATTTGTGAACTACTATTCACATACTTGGACGGTTTTATATGGTATCTTTAGTTTCTTATGATCATTGTATCATCATCCATCATTTCATTTTATTATTTTTATTTCACAAATCCGTATTTTTTCTATTTTGTCACCTATTTTTTAATCCGCCCAAAAATGTGCTTTGAAAATAATTATATTTAACGGATACTGATGAAGTATCAGTAAAACGCATGTCCTTGATGTAAATAATAATAATTGCCTGCAGTACATACACCCCTCACATTTTTCAAGGATCTCCAGCTACCTTAATCCGCCACTGTATCAACATAATCGCCCTGTATCTGTAATACGATGAATCCGTGGTCCTTCTTGTTTTGTCGTCTGAATGTTCTACACGTACCTAAGAAACAACCTGTATAATTTCAGGCAATTGGAAATTATAATGGTATTCCGGGTCTTCGTAATTCTCATCTCAACGAAAATGACGTTTTTTATGTATATAATTCAATCGACATTCATGATATTAACGGGAGACTCTTTCGAAGTATTCCTACCACGTGATTCAATGAGATACGTATAATTCGATGAGTATTTTTGCAAAAAAATTGTGAAGTAGTCGAGTCAGTTATTTGCCAGGGAGTTGTACTTTGGTCCGCCAATGGCATGGCGTCAGCCAGGGCCTACTCTATCTCACCGGGCCGGAGCATCGCTTTCGTGACGTCACACTATAGTAGGTACAAAATCGAGGCGCTGGAAATTGCGTTTCCCAATTCATTGATGTACCACTAGAAAACGGTAATAGTTCTCAAAAAATGTCAGGAGATCAAATATGTGCACACTAGACTCTTTCAAGAGATGAATCAATATTCACTGATTTACGATCAATAGTTCAATGAATATAGCATATCAAAATGAATTTAGCATATCAAAATGAATTGTCGTTTTTTAATCAGCCGCTAGAATTTCAATATTCAATTCACAGAAATGATTCAACCATGCAAAGGCTTCTCATAGTATCTGGATTGACTGTAATTTTTTTCAAAATTCCCAAGAGCCAATAACAAACCAATATTTCAATTCAAGTAAAATGGTGATTCAGATGATTATTACAGACTAGTTCATAAAGTTTAGACGGCCCCCATGCTAAACCTATTATTTGTGGATACACGCTGTCACTGACTTTTTTGTAGTAAATTTCATTGCCTACAAATCGATATGATTTTCTTTTACTACAGAATACTCAACAATTTTCTCACTATTTAATTGATGCATTATCCTAGTGTGACATACTCAGTCAGTTTCATTTTAAACCGATTCTAAATTGGCAGACAATATTATTTCGTAGTATAACGTCCTGATTTTCACTTGAATTGAATTTCTTTACAACATCATAAATCGGTACTGGTTCATCCTAATAAATTTATTTTTTTACCGAAAGTTAAGTAGTTCATCAGGGATCCATTCATCTCGATTGAGTGTGCTCCTAATTTTCAAAGTTAATGAGCTATAACCTTTCAATTACGAACGCACCGATATGAAATGATGTGAAATCTCAACCTACTAGTGTGACGTCAGCATCGAGGTAGAGGGGATAGACTACGGCCCGGTGAGATAGAGTATATAGGCTTTGCGTCAGCCCTCTGCCTTCATTGGCGTACTAATAATCTAGACTTTCAAGGATGTTTTTCTACAAGTGAATGCTCACGTGATTCATTGTGACCAATAAGGACTCGAAGATGAGAAATATTTGGCTTCCCATCTGGATTGCATACAAAATGTCAATTTTGTAAGCGTAATAAGGAATATCGAGGGAGGGATCGGGAATACCACTTATGATTTGCTTGGAAAAGTGACGTTTATTCATCTCTTATGAAATTGATTTTTGTTTGAAACAATATTGATTTTGGTGATTCAAATATTGTGTGTACTGCCGTTATTTAGGATAATTTCTATTTTAGGTGAAGTTTCATTGAGTGAATATTCACAGATTACCATTAATTACGAGTTTGGAAATATTTTTGCAATATACCTCTCACAACAATCATTTTTGTATAATTTCAATATGTTCGAATCAAATCCTCCACAAACACTTTGATGCTACTTTATGGTACTTTGTTTTAATTATAGTACCTACCGATAAACACCAAATAGTGTCTAATTTCACAACAACCAATCGAGATATAAATAAGAGTTCACTCCCATAGTAGTAAGGATGGAGTGTACCGAGATACACAAAATAGGTACATAAGTCGTTTCGTGTATAATTATTGCATTGAGATTGTGCCGCGTTCCTCATGTTATGAAATATCGGATTAGTAGGTACTTCAAAATGATGAAATTTAATGTTTTACTGAAACAGGCCCATTTGAAGACATCTATCTTATGATGCAACCAATGCCATGCATTCAATTCATAATGTTATTATTAAATCTTCCAAGAGAGCTTCAAACCAGATCAGTAATCTAATTTGAAAGTACGACATATGTTAAAAATTAGCAACCTATTAGCATGTTTTCCGTTGATTACAATGGTGATGATAGAAAAGTAAATGAGCTTCAATCAGTTATTAATCAAAACTTTTTTTAGTGGAACGAAAATTCATTTCAATTTATTCATATTGCGACATACCTGGTGACACAGGGTATCGAGCCACCCCTGTAATTTCTGCATTCGTATATGTTATATTGTCAGAATAAGAAATTGGAATAATGTAGTGGGTGAGTCAGTTTTTTGTAGCAGTTATGTTCTGTTTCCCAAAAAAAGGGATATCCTGTAATGTTCAGAGAACATCGTGAGAACCAAGGAAAATTGAGTAGGAATTGGTGTTCTTCTTAAACTTCTGGAGGTTATATGCCTCGGGAAATACCCCCCTTGGCAATGTGTTCCAGAGCCTCGCTGTTTCGTTGGATGAACGAGTATTTGGAAGGAGATGTTCTGCAGGTCTCCAAAGTGGCCACGAAGGGGTGCGAAGCCTAAACTCGACGGGTTAATCTCGCGGGGACTGCGAAGGAAGGTACAATTGTTGATATTCCAAAAGAGCATCGCCCATGAAAATATCTATAAAATAGAGTCAGCTCGCCAACTTTTCTGCGGTGTTCCAGAGAAGTGAGTGAGTTTGTGAGTGAGGCATCACCCACGAGACAAAAATTAAATGCCCTTTTTTGGACAGAAACAGTTTCAGGGTATAATTGGGTCCCGCACTACAAATATGGGAACAATTTTCCAGGACAGGTCGGATATGTGCCTTATAGATTATAAGCAACTGACTGGAAGTGAATAAACAGCTCCTGGCCCGAAACAGAAAACCAAGTTTTTGGGATGCACTTTTAGCAATTGATCTCACGTGATTTTCCCAAGAAAGGTTATTGCTAATAGTAATATCAATCATCGAAATGAATGTCTTCAAAGGTATGGTTACTCCTGACATGCTTATGTTTGGCACAGTGAGATCGGTTTTTCTAGAGAAAAGGCATGCTTGTGTTTTGTTTGCATTGAAATCTACCAAGTTATTGGATCCCCATTCGAGAATTGTTGCCAAGTCCATATTTATGTTGTCGTCAACATTTCTCCCTCGTTTGTTTCTGATTTGTCTGGATGGTATTGAAACCCTGGAAAAGACGGCGGTATGGAGGGTACTATCATCCGCGAAGCTGTGAAGTTGCTTCCAACAAATCGTTGATATGTAGTAGAAATAGTGTTGGTGCTAGAATTGATCCTTGCGGAACACCAGCATTTATGGTAAGAGAGTCAGATGAAACTCCGTCGACCACTACATGGAAAGACCTGTTTGAGAGAAAACACAGCTGGGGAGGCAAGCCATTAACATCGAGATAAACATATAGGCGTAAAGGAGCTTCGTTTCCGATATACAGAGTTTCAAAGTTGGCACGACCCCACCAAAAGTGTATCATCCTGTAGATATTCAAGAACGCTCGATAGCCCCAAATATTGCGTTTCATTACAAGTAGATTATTTGTGGCATTTCTTGAAACACATACAGTTTTCGAAAAAAAAGGGCAAAAAGTATCTGAATCGAAGGGAAACGATCGAGGGTTAACTCGGGTACGACCTTCAAAAGTGTATATTATTATCCTTTAGGTATTCCAGAACGCTCGATAGTCTGAGGTGGTTCGCAAGCGTAATATGTGTCGGGTAGTGTATGTATCCTACTGGTGAGGAAGAGGGAGAGAGGGGTCCGAGAGAGTAGAATTTTGTAAAGTTGGTTGTGTCTAGTTATTTTGAATAAAAAATATAGTAGTTTACGGTGTAGCGTTCCATCATTCAATCTCTTCAGAACCTAATCATACTGAGGAAAAGGGCTCTAGTTCAAGTCCCAAATATTGCGTTTCCAAAGGGTGATAGGTGTACCAAATTTCAATACATCATTTTGGAAATTGTAGGAGGAAATTGGAAAAACACAAGAAAAATCTTAAAACTTTGAAACCCTGTATATCGGAAACAAAGCTCCCACGAATATATGTTCAAATTGAATTTTAATCTTGAAAAAATGTCTTCTCTCAGGTGTTGAAAGTCCTGCTAAAAAAAAACTGACTCACCATGTGTTTGACATTTGTCCAGTGCTGCATTTAGATTTTCACTTGGCCACGAGAGATTCAATTATTACCGGAAATTTTTTCGAGATCATGTATATATTGAGGGAGAATTTTCTAAACATTCGTGTTCAAAAAGAATTTTCGGTTTTTAATTGAAGCTAGAGTGATATTCGTTGAGAAAATTCACACCGAAATTTTTAAAGAATACTAGGATAGGATTACGCTGAATAAAATACAAAATACCATGGACGTATAAACAAAGAAAATACCGACTTTAGTTACGCAAAATAATGATAAGGCAGCTGGTAGCAGTTCAAACTATTATTCCTGCGGTATGTAGTATTAATATAATTTAAATCCATGACATTGTTAGGTTAAATAAAACACAATTAACTCACTTTAGTTACACAAAATGATAAAAAATAGGTCGATAGTAGCTCAATTTCTCAGTTTTTCATAATTTCATTATAATAAAGTTGGTAGAAATTTATTTTCCTTCAAGGAACTCATCAACTTATAGAACGAATTTGACATAATGTGAAGTTGAATGAATATGTCATTTCACCTATAAATGTCAACGATTCTCCAGTGTAATTTCAGGCTCCTTCCTCCCAAGGAGGAGAAAAAATATCCAGAAATCTGTTTAGTTGCTATGGTAATGATACAAAATACAGGCTTTTAATTGGTCGAAAATATTAGGTGTGAAATGTTTCACAAAATTTTGAATTTCTACCTCCAAGATACAGTGGAGTTCACTGACAAACAATAGGACCTCCATTCAGCTAGCAGAACCACTTTGGATTTATATTTTTTTCGGCCTTAATTTAAGGCAAATTTGATACCCTATCGCCGAATTTATTGCTCTTCATTCTATGTAAAAAATCGTGGGTTCTGCTAGCTTATTGCCGATTTTTTCGCAAATTGTTTGAAAAATAAAGTCATGGGTTTTGCTAGCTTAACCATTAAGCTAGCAGAACCAAATCTCAAATAGAAGGAATACCTACAAGGATATAGATTACACCATAATTTAAGGCTATTTTAAGGCTCTCTGTTGAGCTTATCATCGATTTATTAGTTTGACATATTTCCCCAAATCCAACATGAACATGACAAACCAATAGCAATTCCAAAAAGTTCAACCAGGAAAGTAATTATACCATAATTTGAGGCTAATTATAGGCTCTAATCCTCTATTGTCGATTTTTTCGCATTGTTTGTTTTTTAAATCATTGGTCCCGAGATTGGTCCTGCTAGCTTAATGCTTGACCCATAATTTCTTTAAAAAACAATGTGCTAAAGAAAGACGGCAATGGGCTAGGAAAAGAGCCTTTAATTAGCCTTAAATTATTATATAATTCGTTTCCTGATTGAACTTTTTTGATTTGTTATTGGTTTGTCATGTTCATGTTGGATTTGGGAAATTTTTTGCAGAAATGATCAACAAAAAAATCGATAGTAGGTTCAATGAAATGCCTTAAATTAGCCTTGAATCAAGGTGTACTTTATATTCTTATATTCCTTCTATTTGAGATTTGGTTCTGCTAGTCTAAGGGGAAACCCATAATTAAAAAAAAAACATGTGCGAGAAAAAATCGGTTTTTTTTTGGTTTGCTATTGGTTTGTTATGTTCATGTTGGATTTGGGAAAATTTTCGCCAAAAATGATAAAATGAAGAATCCATGATAATCTCAACAAAAAGCCTCAAAATAGCCTCAAATTATGGTGTACTCAATAACCTTGTGTTCCTTCTATTTTGGATTGGGTTCTAATAGCTTAATGGTTAAGCTAGCAAAACCCATGATTTGAGCCTTAAATTATAGTATAATTAGTTTTGTGATTGAATATTTATTCACCAGAGCCTTAAATTAAAGTATAATTAGTTTTTTGATTGAATATTTATTCAGGAAGTTGATCAGCTAGCTTAATGATATTCAGCTAGTTTAATGGTATTCAGTTTAATAGTAAGCTAGCAGAACCAACGTTTTTTTCACATAAATCAACAAAGAGCAAGTAATTGGGCAATAGTGTAATAAATTAGCCTTAAATTATGCCTGAAGAAAAAATTGAAAAATCTAAAGTGATTCTGCTAGCTTAATGGGGTTAGAATCAGGTCATTGATTGATATATTATGCTTTCAATTGATATGTTTGAAGTTATAAGCATCTCACTTTCAATCAAGGATCAGGTCTAGTCATTGTGCAAAATGGGTCAACTTTCAGATTGAGAGGTTTGAATCAATTGAATGCTCCCAATGGCCCCCAATGGCTTGATGGAGACATTTTGCTATCTGAGGAGAGATGACAAGATTTCTGTAGTTTTGGAAGCATTGTAGATTGCCTTGATTTTTCAAATTATGACTTTCAAATATACTTTGACTTATGAAATCAGTATATCTATGATTTTCATACACCTACTAAGTATATGTGCATATTAGCTACTGATTCTATCAAATATTTAACACAAAATGAATGAATAAATAAATGTAAGTTGCAGCCTGCAATATATAATTCAACAATATGGTATTGAATGTTTATTTTGTTTTTCATACATATTACACTTTTACTTTTTTTCTGGAACTACTTCCTCAGCAGCTGGATTGGCATTCCTGAAGTTGGGAAACTGTTCCCATGGTGCACTCAATTCAAATTTCCTAAATTCTTGGGCCAATTCTAATGGCTCTACAACAACACGTTTCTTTTCATCATCATACCTAACCTCTACATATCCACTGAGAGGGAAATCCTTTCTGAATGGATGACCCTCAAAACCATAGTCAGTTAAGATACGTCTCAAATCAGGATGGTTGGAGAAGAATACTCCATACATGTCCCATATTTCTCTTTCATACCAATTTGCTGCTTTGAAGACTTCATTGCAGGATTCAATTGGGGTTAGTTCATCAGTGTAAGTCTTTACACGGATCCGAGAATTATATCTCAGGGAGAGTATGTTGTAAATGATTTCAAACCTATAACATAACAATGCTCAGATATCAAATTGATTGTTGCTAGCAAGGTAGCTAGCTTTAAATCTACCTATTATGTCTGGAAGGAACATCCATTCCACCAATATCAACGAGATTTGCAAATTGGGCATTGTGGTGATCTTTCAAGAATTGTAGTACAGGAACCACACCTTCTGGTACAATCAGTAGCTCTAATTCATCTCCAGCTGTTATTTGAATAGTCTGTATGTACTTGGGCAAGCATTCTGCAACGTATTTTCCGAAATCTGTGAGTTGACCCCGAGCTACTTCATCAGGTTTCCTGACTGTTGGTCTAGTTTCTATGGTGGTTTCAGCCACTGCTTCTGAAGAAATTGCTCTATTCGAGAATTGACTGATGGAACAGGGGAGAGAACGAGAAAACGTTCTTGATAAAAACTGCCTCAACATTTCTTTCGCCCTAAAAATTATCTATTACCTAACTCTTCTTCCACTGCATCTGTCACTTTCCAAAACATAACCTATTATTTTTATATTTTTTTTAGTTGACGGTTGACATCATGACATTGACATCTTTCGACAGCTGTTTCGCCACAAAAATAAAAAAGGCTGTGACTATTTGTCCGACAGTCGGACGGATACTACGCACTGGCAAACTTGAACAATCCGTGTATGGGTGGGTGTTTTTTTTTTCATTCCAGCGAAAAATGTCCGCACTGATAGATGGGCTTATTCGCCGTGACGTGACCAATTTTCTGATGGAAATTATCTAGTGCAAAGAATATTCGCAATAGAAAATTAGTGTACGCCACCTATCGAAGTCCCCTCAGGGGCTCACAACTTGTGAGTACGGGAATGGTGAACCCGAGGTACCCTAGCCGGATATTCACCATACTTCAACTTGTCTTGGGTGATATCCTCTTCTCTCTTCCGTTTTCAATCTTTCTATCGGCCTTTCTTGGCCAACTTCTCTTTTCCTCTTCCCCTTCAAGCCCAACCTCACCATCAAGTGGTGTGGGGAAGGCAGGCCGCGGCCGCTTGGCGGATGAAGCATTTTGGGACCATCTTTGCTATCTTCTTCCAGATGGGACAATTTGTGGACATCTGTGGCAGGGATGGGGCGATTTGCTGATGTTTGTCTAGGTGGTCGAGGTCTGGTCAACGAGGCTCTGGCAACCTAATCCAAGCTGTGGGAACCCGTGGCGATGGATGGATGGCACCGAGGAATGGTGTCGCTAACGGGGCCTCTGGGAAACAGGGCGACATCCCAGAGTAAACAGCCTTAGCCCTGTGCAGGGGGCACCACAGGGCTGGACCAACCCCTTCCCCCGTCACTCGTAGGAGAAGGAAAACTTTTGGCCTTCTTCGTAGACGAGAACAGGGATCGGAAGAGCAATCTTCAGGAACCTGAACGAAAAGGGTCTTTCATATTGAAGTTTCCCTTAATAGGCACCATGAGTCGTATGTGGTAAAATTGATAACGGCATGTAGGTGAGATACAATGGGCCACTAGGCCTAAGTGTCGTTGAAGCCTACAACGGGGTGGAGTGTTTAGTGGGTATACCATGGAGGGGACTCCCACACTATCATATGGGGGATTGGACCCATATGATGTCTATAAAAGATTTCAACCACCTCGGCGAAAAAAAAAAAAAAAAAAAAAACCTATCGAAGTTATTGAAAGCTGTCAAAGCGGCCTGTTTACTTTAATTTTCATTGGTTCACATTTGTTTTTTTGTTTCTGCTCATCTCAGAAGTGTTCAAGTTTTCTCATATACGTAGTTTTCTATCGCGAATACAACACCTGATACCTGATGGACAAACGAATTTCGGTGTACCTATACACAGTTTATTGCTTACTGTGAACTGTGACCTATATATGCGTTGAAAGTTGGTGTTCGATGCTATATGTAGTCTGTTATATCTGAGGTGGCTATTATAGCCACCTTTAGTTATATCGTTACGGTTATATACTTATCTTCTGAAGCAGAAGAGGCTGATATGATTTATTGATTCACTCTATTTCTATCTTCCAAAATCTAGGTATCCAAAATCTAAAAAATCCTCAATATTTTCGTTTTTTTCTATCAAATCAAAAACAGAACAATACTAAAAATGTGTCAATGGGCTTATATACTAAAAAAATGTCCTTTCATAATTCGATAGAACTCGCCTAACTCGCCCAAACTAGCTCACCACTGTAATTTTCACTAGGTACCTATATATATCTACTTCAAATACTTCAAATAAAACACATCCTCAGTGTAAAAATTTTTGTCTTCTTTCGGAGATTGAAAACTGAATGTTCTATCCTAGTGTGCTACTCATGCACCTATATAGTATATAAAGGGCCGATGGTATTGGTAAGGTATTGGTGTTATCTGGGATTAATTCTTTCTCAGGAAACAACTATACTTTCCTCTGGCTATATGCCACGTTGCCACAAGGAACATGAAGTTGAAAATTTGCATTCTCTTTCAGATAAAATAAATATGTTTATAATATCATTCTGTATATTCAACAGAAAACAATTACTTACTGTTGAACATCCAAAAGGAGAATATATATGGAAATGAAAATCTTTTAAAATTGAGAATCAACATTCTTTTCAAATCGGATAAATAATAATATATATGATGTAAAATAATATAAAAAATGAAAATTTAAATCTATAGGTGAAATATGTAGAAACTCTGATCTTCTTGAGTTTAAAATCAAAAATCATTCGTATATGTAATCATGATGTCTGGGATATAAGTACATCTTTCAGAAACCATTTATTCGAATAAAGTCATATAAACTGTTTGTGCTAGATGTAAATAACCTAAACGGGGAAAGTATTTGTTTTATGTTGAATATACCGAGAAAGAATTAATATTTTTATGCAAAAAGAGCTCTAGTCCTTAAAAATTGCTCCAGAGCTGGAAATCATTTCAATACTTCTTCGGAGTCCTAAGTAACCGGTATATGAGTTTGCGACGGTTTCAAGGTTGTGCTTCAGATTTGAGAGCCCAGAAAACCGTGAGATTTTCGCACTTTTTTTAGTTTTTTGCCCATGATTTCTTAAAGTTCGCGCCCTACAAAAAAATTCAACGACATTTTTTTTGTAGATCATTAAATTTCGCGTCGATTAACGTTAAGAATAGTGAAATTGGTTCAGCAGTTCAGTCGCAATCACTCCTAGCTGATAGGCAATTTTCACCAACATCGCTAAAAAGTTGACAATCCTCAACTTCTAACACCTGTAGGTCGAAAATAACTGCTTCGATTGAAAAATGTCGTTGGACTGAAGTTGTAGGAGATATAATTCTCCTCCAGATGATTCTTGAAATTTGGAATTCGCTCAATTCAGTGCCGTGATATGAATTTCAAATGGTCGCAGCGCCAAATTTTCGCTGAGGCTTGAAGGGGTTGAAAGTTGAACGATAAAAACTTGATATTTTCATAGACCTCTAATCGCAGATTCATGATTGGCCCAGTTAACACAGATTGATCCCAGAGATATTAGAGGGCATCACATTCATGCCACACATCACATCCGTGACTCGAATTGAGAGTCCTACTGAAATCACAATGACTGCTATTCCGGACCCTTTTGGTCATTTTATGATTCACATTTAGATGCCGAATGGGACTCAAAGTTAGCTGAATGTGACTCTAGATTTCACGTTTAAATTAGACTCACATTGAGGTTACATTATAATCAAAATGTGAGGTTTGGTAAACCATCGACCATTTCTAAATGTGAGGTTCTTTTCGATTATTATACTGATATAATAGCGGCCCTGAGAAAATTATATTGTGCTTCTCAAAAATGCCACATACACATTTAGTTTTGATTCTCTAGTGAAATCACATGTAGATTGATGAAGGTATTCAATGAGAGGACTGATAGGTGTCGAATCTCTGGTCAAATAGATAACTCAAACGTTTCACAAGGCTACTCGATTTTATTGAAAATTAATCTCATTTCACATCAAAATATGTACGTACATGTAATATTGAGCAAAACTATAGCTACATCTAACAATGATTAAAATTTTAGAATCAGCGTTAGCCTGGACATTGTTGAAATGATTATTATACAGGGAATATCTTCACGAGTTAAGGCGATATCTATACCGGGATTACCAGGTGACACATACTCATGGTCTACCCCTCTTTCTCCTTTGTTTTTCTAGGTATATTACTGAAATTTAGAACATCGAATATGCTGACTATATACAGGGCACTATCTCACATTTTATGACTTTCTTTATCTTCCAGTTATTCTGGAATTGACATCAACTTTCGATTTTTGAATGGAATACCCCATATTTTATTCTTCAATTGGTTAGAGACTATAATAACAAATACAATACCGGGTTCGATTGGGTTATTTCAAACGATCACGAAGATATTTACGTTTGAAGTATCCATATTATGATCAATGGTTGTGACGGCGCAATATCGAAACTTCGAACGCAAATATCTTCGTGATCGTTTGAAATAACCCAATCAAACCCGGTATCGTTGAATTCGTTATAATAATCTCCAACCAATCATGAAATAAAGTACAGGGTGTTCCGTTTGAAAATCGAAAGTTGAAGTCATTTCCAGGAAAACGGAAAGGTGGAAAAAATCCTAAAATGTGAGAAAGTGCCCTCTAGTGAGCATATTCGATGTTTCAACTTCTAGAAATATAGCTAGAAGAAAAAAATTAGAAAAGGGGCGTATACCATGAGTCTGTGTCACCCGGTATATGGAGAACTAAAAGTGGCACAATTCTGGACATTCGTAATGACGGTGAAGGAAACATGAAGCATCCAACTAAGATATTTTTGTTATCGTCAAGCTTCCGTTTTTTCCAGAAGTGAGGGCATTTTTTTTTTTCAATATAAATTACACCCTGAATTTTTTTACATTTCTGTATTCCTCTATACTATTGAAGCTCCGGACAGTAATTTTCCTCAAAATATGGCCTCTTCAAGTCATGATTTTGATTCAAAATTATGTATCATACCCTAATTTAAATTTTTAGTGCTATGCATTGATTAAATCGTGAATATTGATTGATCTGGAACATTGAAAATCTCATTTTTTTTCAAATGAAAACCATATTTTTTCCCATCATAATTCAATTCTATAATAAAAATGAGCCCTAGTTCGAAGTGACTTCCCTATACCCAGAACCAAAAATTTTGGAGATATTCCATAAATACTTTTTAATCCTGCATACTTTTACTTAAGTATATATATATACCTAAAATGAAGCGTGCTTGACTTATTCGTGTTTTTCTGGAAAAAGTATGCAGGATTAAAAACTATTTTTGGAATATCTCCAAAATTTTTGGTTCTGGGTATAGGGAAGTCACTTCGAACTAGGGCTCATTTTTATTATAGAATTGAATTATGATGGAAAAAAATATGGTTTTCATTCGAAAAAAATTGAGATTTTCAATGTTCCAGATCAATCAATATTCACGATTTAATCAATATGCATATCACTTAAAATTTAAATTCCCATAAAAATTTTCTATGTTCAAAAGGCTGCATTGAATG